GTGGGACGGGTTGCAATTTTGTATCCTTAAAGCCTATCTGTGTGTGATGTTTACATGGACTGCGGAGCTTTGTAACCGACGCTATGCTCCGTTCAAAAGTGACAAAAAGTTGACCTACTTCTACCAATACAAAATCAAAAAAGGAAACAAAAAAGTACTAAGCCTCAACAATCGCACAATTGGTGCCAGCCTACGCCGGGGCTTTGTGGACCGAGCCTTTGCCGTAGCTCTCGTCGTTATCTTTTTGTGTCGTGTGTGCCCGTGTGTGTGCGTCGTATCGATATCGTAAGGTGTGCGTTGAGCCGTCCGAAAAAAAAGGGACAGTTCCAACTTTTTGTCAGCATGAGGAAATATTCGCCCATCAACTGCTACTACTACCGAATCCACACAAAAAAAGAATACCTCAGTCTTCAGATTTTTAGATCGATTTAAAAAAAAAAGGAGACGAACTGCAGCGTTTCAAAAAGTTTACGGGAGACCGTAAAAAGAATAAAAATTGCTGGATGGCCAAAAAGTTGCCTTGATCCAAAAATGGAGACAAACTACAGCGTTTCAAAAAGAAGCCGTGGAAAAAAAAATAAAAAAATTGCCAGGTGGCCAAAAAGTTGCCTTGACCCCAAAACGGAGACAACCTACAGCGTTTCAAAAAAAATCTCCCGTGAGATAAGGAAAGGTAGATAAAAGATTGCCAGATGGCCAAAAAAGTTCCCTTGACCCAAAACAGAGACAACCTACAGCGTTTAAAAAAGTTTTCCCGTAAGACAAGAAGCCGTGGAAAGAAAATTATCAGATAGCCGAAAACTTTTTGAAACGCTGTAGGTTGCCCCCAAAATGGGGGCAACCTACAGCGTTTCAAAAAGTTTTCCTGTGAGACAAGAAGGCGTGGAAAAAAGAAATTGCCAGATGGCCAAAAAGTTGCCTTGACCCAAAATGGAGACAACCTACAGAGTTTCAAAAAGTTTTCCCGTGAGACAAAAAGTAAAAAAAATTGGCAAATGGCCAAAAACTTGGCTTGACCGAAAATGGGGGCAACCTACAGGGTTTCAAAAAGTTTTCCCGTAAGACCAGAAGCCGTGGAAAGAAAAAAAAATTGCCAGATGGCCAAAAAAGTTGCCTTGACCCAAAACGGAGACAACCTACAGCGATTCGAAACGTTTTCCAGTGAGACAAGAAGCCGCAAATAAAAAAACTTGCCAGATGGCCAAACAGTTGCCTTTACGGAAAATGGGGTCAACCTACAGCGTTTCAAAAAGTTTTCCCGTGAGATAAGAAAAAGTAAATAAAAAATTGCTAAATGGCCAAAAACTTGGCTTGACCGAAAATGGAGACAACCTACAGCGTTTCAAAAAGTTTTCCCGTACGACAAGAAGCCGTGGAAAGAAAAAAAATTGCCAGATGGCCAAAAAGTTGCCTTGACCCAAAATCTTACCTTTTTACATACGCTGAGAGGTGGGGGGAACAAACTTGACGTCCCCCCCGGGACCTAAAACCGTAAGTCCCGCTGCCGTATCCGAAGCCCTTTCCCGGTGCTTAGAGCTCCGTTAACAATTCGATTCGCTGGGTAGCGCCCAAGCGAACCGTACCGCTTAACGAAAACTTCATCGCCTCGTCGCCGCCATCGTGACCAAGCAAAAAAACAAAAAAGGGACCAGACGCCATTTTTAATTCTTGGCTGACACATTCCAAAAGGAGGCGTCCGCGGTGGTTTCCGTAAATCGGGCGTCGCTTATGATTAAAAAAAAAGCACAAATTGAAGATTAAAGCACCTCCCCTTTTTTTT